TAATCACCCTTAATTATTTTCTGGTCAACCATCTAGATTTGGACCCTTCATTTATTATGGAGGTATGGAACCATATAAAAAATCTTTTCAATCCCTCCAGGATTGTAGCTTATTTAGTCATGGAATTAGCAGTAATAATCATTCTTGTCCTTTTGAGATGTCTCCTTAAGCAGGTGCAATGACAACAGAAAACTAATAAAACAACAGCACAGGTTCTTTTGGCAATTATAAATAAAGATCATGCTCCACCAAAGGTGGTTCTACAAGAATGGATAGCAGAGGTTTCAAAAAGCCTAAAAAGCACCCCGATACCTGACAGACCCACCATGGTGATGCTCCTTCAAGGGCTGATAGTCAATGATGGGTAAGGACCTACTGAGTAGGCCAACCTAAGACAGGCACAGTCCAAAATACTGAAGCACCCACGAGGTGGGGCCAACAAGGTCAGGACAAGGCATCCTGGCTCCTACTGGGCTGTCTAAAATAAAATAAAAAGGATGGCTATGTGGGGAAATGGGCCAGTAAATACTTCCGTTATTCAGGCTAACCTAAAACCTGCCATAAAGCACAACATCAAATGACGCAAACAGAGGACAGCGTGCTGCACCAATGAAGAGGAGACACATAGCCAAATGAACCAATGAGGATGGGGAGGGGGGTATAAAAGAAAGCACTAATGGCACAATAAACGAGCTTGCTTGCTAACTGCCGAGTGAGTCTCCCGAAGTCTGTGCTGTTGACTTCGTGTCTACTCATCCCCTACCCCCAACGGAGAGTCCTCAAGTAGCTAGCCCACTAAGGCAGGCAACACTAAGGCAGGCAAGAACAACATCTGGCGCCTAACGTGGGCATCTCAACTGCCACTATCCTACTCCTAGCAGTAATCATGCCCACTTAGACTTTTGTAATGGTTTCCTAACTAGTCTCCCCAGCTAACTCTGGATCTGTGGATTTTCTTTCCACACTACAGAGTGACTCAAAATGTAACTGACCATCTTAGCCTTTCCCCAACTATTAAAATCTTTCAACAGCTTCTTAAAGGTCTTCAGACAAAGACACCAACATGGTCTATAAGACCTGACTGATCTGGCTCCTGTAGGCACCTCCAGCCTCCATCTTCACACGACAAAGATCCTTCACCTTCTTGAATACATTCTTCATCCTCACTGAACCTCCTCATTTCTTTCTTTACCTGTGCAATTTCCACAGATTCTCCAGATCTTAGTTCACATCTTATATAGGTGTATAATTAAATACAGATGTGTAATAGGTTATTAAAATCTTGCTTTCCAACTAAATACTCAGCTCCATGAAAATTCATTACATATTCCTTCCTTTTCCTGGCTGTTCCACCTTTCTCCTACCTGGGAACATTTCCAAAGGTATGGTATACCTCACTCCTCTGACTTCATACCCTTTCAGAAATCACCTTAGTTTAAGTAACTTCAAGCTCTCAACCTCAGTCTGTCCACATAATCCAATAGGCATTTCCAAATAGACCACCAATTTGCATCATCTTGGCTGTGGCTTTCAGTGAGAACACATTATTTGGCATAAAAAGTTTCATGAAACAATATTGCCACTCTCTTGCTTTCCTATATGCTTTCATTTCTAAAAGAATTTTTTGAATGATCTCAAACTCAATAATATAGTATGACCTGCTGTTTAAAACATTATCTATCAGATATTTCCACTTACCTATTTTGCTACAAGTTCAAACATAATATTACTATTTCCCAACTCATTTCTCAACCAAATTTCTTACCAAGAAACCTGATCATCCTCTTAGTCACATTGGATCAACATGTTGCGGATACTTTGGATTCCTCCTCCTTACACCACAGTTGCTAAAACCTACTTGGCTTCTCCACTGCGAAGCATTACCACCCATTCCATCCTTTATTTTCCCACCATCACAGCTCTCATGGGAGTGTAACATGAAACAGTCTTTTAATCTGGCTTCCTGCTTCTAGAATTTTCAAGCAAAGGAGATGCACGTTTGAAATCTTATTCCTTTCAAAAAAGAAGGCTAACTTGGCTCCTAATTCTATTCTGACCAGTAAGGTAATGAGTAATACTGAAACAAATGTGCCTTCATCCACTCACCAAACATGTTGAATAATTAAATTTTAACTCAGAATGCCTTTGTGTTTCAAAGATTCCTCTTTCAACCCAGAAACCAAACTTAGGCTTGGGAGAAGGCACAAGAAGACTTACCCATGTCAGCAGTGACCATAGTAGATTGGTTTTCAGGGATGGAGGCAGAGGTCTGGTCTTGGTCCACACTTCTTGAGTCGTCATTGACCTCCTGTTGACTCTGACTAAGCTCTGACCGTAATTCTGAATATTCATCTTCCTCCCTGAGGAAAAAAAAAAGAGAGTCAGCCATCACTGACAGAGGGTGTAATATGAATCCTTTAAAAATACATTTTGTAAGGGCAAAACAAAGACATTCAGAAAGAAAATGGATTTCTCATCCAGTCCAGAGGGGCTGAGAGTCCTTTCAGGCCACGTGGATGGTCATATTTAAGGTAATGAAGCATATGAACCTGAAATAATCCTCTGTGTTCACATACCTATATACTAAACAAAACTAGTCTATCAGCTACTAGAAGTTTTTCCCTTCAAAGATTTCCTGAACACATTAGACCTCTTCACCTCCCTCAAACTATGAATAAAGAGCAAAGTAGACTAACATTGAGGCTACAATAAGCAAAATAGTGAGAAACTGATAAACAGCATTTATGTGGCCTCATCTGGAAGGGCCCACTGAGGACTTGCTCTTAGAACTTGACATAAGGTTGGAATTACTGTGAAATCTATCTGCAGAGCCAATGATTGCAAGAACTGGACAGCTCAGCATATCTAAGAAACATCGCACTTACCTTCCCTAAAAGATGATGGGTGAGAAGAAGAAAGCAAACTATTAAATGAGAGTCTACTCAATGTTGTTTCCTTACACTTTCCGACTTGCAGTTACAGACAGAAGACAACACTGAAACACAGCTGTGTTTCATTTGCACGCCTACACCTACCTACCTCTTTTGAGTCCTTCATGGTTATTCAATCTCTGAGCTGTGCTGTTAGTAAACAAGGAAGCTTCTGATTGAAATGTACATTTTAAAGTGCACACATGGTCTCCTCCCTATACCCTCACCACACATGCCACTCTCATACTCAATGGCTGGAGTGGAGATGGAGGGCACAGAATCTATGGTCTTGGGTTCTGAGTAGACCACGATGGTGGGTGGCTTGGGGAAGAGGCACCTGAGAAGATAAATCTATAAATCAGATAAACATGAATAAATCTCTACATCCACAATTCTCTCAAAAAAGCTATTTTCTCATAAGTAGGGATTTAACTGCTTCACAAGTGATGCTGGCTTTATAAGAAATTATATATGAAGCCACTCAGAAAACTGGGAAGACTGTGAGACAGTTTCGACAAGCCCCGGCAATAGAAAATATAAGTTAAAATGGGAGTGAAGGCAAAATATAGATTAAGAGTCTATAAATGTTAATTATTAGACACCTACAGAACTCAACAATAATTAGGCTTAGGAAAGAAAACAATTAAAAAAATACTCTCAATAGTTACCTTTCTGGTCTAGAGGGTAATTTTTTGTGAGCTGATATATCAGCTCTTCTTTTAGTAGGTACTTAAAATTCTGATTTTAGTTAATGGGGTATTTCATTTATGAGGAATAAACTATCTTTGTTGCACAGCCAACAGAATCAGCTTCAGCTTGGCTGGGTCGATGTTAAAGTGAAGAAGGTGAGTGACAGATCCTGCTGTTGTTCTGGTAGAATTGGCATTTTCAAAAATCTTTAATAGTCACCTTAAGCCTTGGCTTGGCAGATTCCAAATATATCGTTCTTGCTAAATCTGCTTTATGCTGAATTACTTCTAGGGATTAGTAGGGAGAACTTTATAAAGGAGTCAGTAGGGTGGGGGTGTGAGAAGAAGGCATCATGATGGAAACATGCTCTGAGAAGAGAGCTCAGTGGGAAGGAGAACTACAACACATTAGTGATGTCACCTGGACTGGAAACTTTTCATGTCATCAAACGCAAATGAAGGATCCCATTCAATGTATGTGAACACCAAGACAAGGATAGGAAAGCAAAGACTGCATGGATTCTATCTTCCAGGAAAACATGTTCACAATCATTTCTAATCCAAGACATGTGGTGGGTAGACACAGGAGAATCAGGGCTGCTTCCTGATGACCTTCCCAGAAGCAGCAGCTCCACATAAATCTCAAGGCAAGTAGATCTCAGGGAGCTTATCAGGATGAAAGAGCATACACAAAGCTCAGAGCTGTGAGGCGTAGAGTTTAGTGAGGAATGAGGTACTTGGTATAGCTGCAACCAAAGTGGGGTGGGGTCTTGATTGGGCAGTTTTGAGCAACAGGAAAATTTATTATATTGGAGAGGCAATAAAAAAAAAAACCCAAACAATGCAACCTAACCGGTTAGATGGTAGAAAAAAAATTATGACACAGGAGGTGTGAGAATGCAGGGGAAAGAATAAATGCCATCAACATCTTGTGTAGAAACATAGGACGGAAAAGAAGGCGCAGAGTGACCTGACAGGAAGGGGCTAGGTAAGCACATCTGATCCCTGGGGAAACTCCTCCAATGGCAATTACAGGAATTCTAGAGTAAAAGCAACATACACAGAGTAATCAGTAGAGGTAGAGAGAAGATCAGAGGTTTTGCGGCATAGTGAGGGCTAAAATAGGTTCAAATGAGCCCAAACATTAGAAGATGTGGGCAGCCCGACCTCTCCCAAAGATGACGAACAGATTTTCAAAGCTTCACCATTCCCACCAGCACTGGTCCTGAAAGGAGACTAGAATCCAGGGAAGGGAAAGGACAAAAACAAACTCTCTCAGGGCCCTTTGACAGTACATGGTTGCGCTATGTGAAAACGGATGATGGGGCCTTTTTACCTTCCAGAGTACAGGCCCATCAAGAGCAATGGAATAGGTCAAAGGACTGCTGGTCCACAGCAGTTTTACCAACACTAGATTCAGTACTGTGAGTAGGAAGCTCTTCTGCAGTCTTGAGTCACTGCCTGTGAGTGCCTCACTAAAGACACATCCTTGGTCTCTTCAAGTGTCTTCACTGGCCCCTTTTAACTGTATACATAGTAACGTGTGTGTGTATGTGTGCGTGTGTGGTGTCTCTACACACCTGTGTGCACACATGCAGAGGCCAGCATATCCTGTTCTATAATTCCTCACCTGATTTTCTGAAGAGAGTCTCTCACTGAACCAGGGCTCACTGTTCAGGCTATACCAGCTGGCCAACAAGCCCAGGCAATCCTCTGATCTCTATTCCCATAATGCTGGGTTTATAAGCACATGCATGACCATGTCCAGGTTTGTTTTCTAAATGCGGGTGCTAGGGATCCAAACTCAGGTCCTCAGGCATGTATAGCAAGTGTTCTCACTCTCTGAACCATCTTCCAGTTCCCTATACAGTAACTCTCAATGCAGTAGCAAATTATTTCTTGGTGTAGGGATGCCTTCTCCCCCCCGCCCCACCCCCCCAAAACCCGTATATCCACTGCTAATTCTGGTGATAAGAAAATGTGAAAAATATTCCCCAAGGAAACCATATTAAACCACCAAAACAGAAGCTTAGATAAACTTGTAATTTCTGAAGATGGGCTTACAAAGTTCTCAAGTGTTTATCTTTGGAATGTAATGGGTCCGCTCACAGGATTCTAGATGTCCATGGTTCCATTCACTCAGAAGCAATGGAAAGTGCTCCCAAGTTGCTTTATTTAGATTTGCAATTTATTTACTTTTATTATTAAAAAAAATAGTTCATTTATTATTTTTATTTTATGCGTAGGAGTGCATCGCCTGCATGTGTATAAGTGCACCTGCATTGTGCAATGCCGCAGAAGTCGGAAGAGGGGGTACCATCCCCAGAACTGGAGTTACAGATGGTTGTTAGTCACCATGTGGGTTCTGGGAAGCGAACCTAAGGCCTCTGCAAGATCAGCCAGTGCTCTTAACCATGGAACCATCTCTCTAGGCCCTAGAGTTGCAATCCATTAATACTTGCTACTAGTTGTAACCCCACAACAAAGTCTCCTAAGGAAGCAAGCACTAAAAACCACACTTGTATGGCTATGTGATGACCAGCAGGGGCAGAAAAGTCACAGGCTGCCATAATGGAAGACTTCTTAAAGGCCACTCAGGCCATGATAGGTGCTTTTATTTTAGAAATAAGATGATCAAAACTTAAAGTGAAATGACTTACACATTATGCAACTAGTGATTACTGCTGCCTTTAATCTCAACACCCAAGAGGAAGTAGGCATATCTCTGAGAGCTCAGGGTTGGTCTGCTGTACAAAATGAGTTCCAGGCCAGCCAGGGCTACACAGGAGACCCTTTCTTTAAAACAAAACAAAGAAACAATGACGCAATCTAATATTGTGGACTAAGAATATAATTTGTTTTTCCTTACTTATAAAAACTCTTCTTGAGCTGGGCGTGGTGGCGCACACCTATAGTCTCAGCACTTGGGAGGCAGAGGCAGGCAGATCTCTGTGAGTTCAAGGCCAGCCTGGTCTACATAGTGAGTTCCAGGACAGCTGGGGCTACAGGGAGACCCTGCTTCAAAAAGACCAAAAAAACAAACAAACAAACAAACAAACAAAAAACCTTGTCTTGTTTCAGGGTAAAACTATAATTCTTTTTTTTTTTTTTCTGCCTTTTTGAGACAAGATTTCACTGTGCAGCCCTGGAACTTGCTATGTAGACTAGGCTGGCCTTGAACTCCAGAGAGGTCTGTCTCCCAAATGCTGGAATTAAAGGCGTGTACCATCATGCCTTGCTTGAAAGTAGAATTCTTACTATGTTGTCTAGACTTCAAGTGGAAGTTCTATGGCATCATGAGTGTTGACAAATACCACATCACCCACTATCCTCACAGCTACTTTATTTGGGATGGACATCCATGCCTTGCCATTGGGTTGAAACCAATTGGAAGATATTCCACATGGTTGCTCACTTGCCTTGATATCTGTCAGTCTATTGCAGTTAGCAAACCCATACTACTTGACCTGGTATATATATTTTTTTTTTCTAAATTTACCCACATTATGTCTTTCTTACAATGGAAGGCAAACTGTCCCTGAAATGGCTGAAATATGGAGGAAATGTGTTCCTTTCAAGTCTCTTAAAGAATCAATTACAAGAAGTAGGCGGTGAGACTCCTCTTGACTTTTATCTCCCATTTCCCTAGGGTACAGGGAAAGACGAGGTTCATCTGTGCACCTACCTCCTGGTGAATAGCTGAACAAGGAAAGTTTTGAAATGTTCTTACATGGATATAAT